TTGTGACTACAGTTCCAGGTGGGCGTGGATATGGGTTAGTACAGCTGTAATTATGAGTAGTGGATGGCTATGTGGGAGTGTGGCTGTGGATGTGAGAGCGGAAGCGAGTGACGTGAACGTGGTTGTCGGTGTCGATGTAGGCGCGGATATGGGTGTTGGTGTGGGTGCGAGTCTTCTCTTCAGCAAGCACGCCCACGCCCACGTCCACCGACACCCACAGTCACACTCATACCCAAGCCGCACCTACAGTCACACACTCATGCTTTCATTCTTCAAGTTAACAACCTTGTCGATCATGTGAAACAGTAAAGTTAATGGTTAAAGTTGGCGTGAATGATGTCAGGCCTCTTCACGCCCTCATGTCAAGATAGATAGATAGCGTCTCCTTGTAACTTGTATTTTGAAAATTTCTAATCCCTTCGAACCAGGCATTGATTTTACTTTTTATCTTATTTCGAGGAGTACTCTTGTAAAACTCATTTCATTCTAGCTCTTTGATCATTAGTAAGTCGACTACAGACTAGAATTCTACAAGGTTAACATCAAAGTTACTGAAGAAAGAAGTTTTCCGACGGATGCATGCCGTTTTTGTTGATATTTTGCGCAGATGTATAGTTTGATGACACTAGAAAAAAACCTAAAAAGATAACGGCGCACAAGCTTTCCTTCTCGAACGATGATCATTTTACTTGGTTTATCACCTATGACAAGGGATTCAGTGAAAAATCAACTTTCGTACACATGTAAGTCTTATGACCTATATATTAGGCTTAAGGTTGCAGTCAAAACAAATGCTTCTGTCGTGAAATATTGATTTTTCCATAGAAGTCGATTTTCATGACATGTATGTAGCACGGTAATGTTTTCTTGATAACGCAATATTTCGAGAAAGAGGCATTCGCTTTGACTGGAACGTTTAGGCTAATACATAGGCCATAAGACTTGCATGTGAACAAAATTTCAGATCGAAATTTCTCAATTTGATTTTTCGCTGAATCCCTTGTCCTAGGTGGTAAGCCAAGTAAAATGATCCTAACTTGAGAAGGAAAGCCTATGGGCTGTTATCCTTTTAAGTTTTTTTCTAATCTCATCGAACCCTACATATAGGCAAAATATCAACAAAAAAAGGCATGGATTAGTTGGAGACTTTTCCTTGAGAGTCTTGTACCATTACGAACTCTTCGCAAAGATTCGCATCGATTTGAGAAGTGAACTTTTCAAAAGTTTTATTTCTGTGTTGTTTGATCACCAATCAGTTAAGAAATTTACAATGAATATATTATGTATTCAAACAGGCTCGATAAGACACTATGAATCCTTGTTTTGTTTTTTAACAATGATACAGTATATCGTTTGTGACGCAGGATTTAACCGCAGAAAGAGAGAAAAAAATTGGTTGGCGCACATGCTTTTATTCTTCTTTCGCGGAAAGTCGATGACTTTGTACACAACATACTTGAATAGCAATCTTCATTTGCATAATAAATAATTAATAAGAAAATGAAGAACGGAGCACTTTGTTAGCTGTCATCAGTGGATTTTATCCAACTTACAAGTAGAACAACACAAAGTCAATACACAGGTGAAGTAACGCTGAATCAGCAAGCGTTGATGGCTGTTACAGTGGGGAGCCAGGCGGATATGTGCGAAAATATTCTTTTCTAGAATCTAACGATTTGCGTAGATACATGCATATGTGATCTATCATTTCCTAAAATAGTGGTTCTCAAAGTTTTATAAAGCCCAACAAAAGAGCTCGCTAAGGCTTGCTCCTCAGAAATCAGCATAAATAAAGAAAATCAAGCTGCTAGACAATATGAAACAATATGGCACAAGCAAACAATATCACAAAAGGCTTCCTCATGGGTAGATCTTATTTTTACAAAAAGGTATCCAAATTTATTCTAAAATAGAGTAGAAGACAGAGGATCTCGAGATTCAAAACCTATCTGAAAATATATCATTCCATATATTTTAAGCACTACAAAGAGAAAACGTCGAATCGAGCACGCATTTTTACCAGACGTTCTTACATATGTAATCTACTTATGATAGTGGCGCAAACTTATGAAACCTTTCCTAAGCTATTTTACAGTAGGAAATCCGATTTTTGGCACTGATATTACTCTTTGAAGAAAAACTATGGTGATATTCGGAATGAACGCATTACACTACTTCGAGTGATATGTAGCTCAACATATTTTTCAAAACAAATTTTTTTCGACAAATTATGGCTGAGGTACTCCCCAGCCAAGTTTTGCCGTAAATTTTTTTCTTAAAAACTTTCTGTTTTCTCAAAGACGATTCTCTGAATGATATATGTTTATCTCTGAGCAAAAAAATTGTATGTTCGCCTGCTTATACGAAAACTTCCGACTGTGCTGCAGGCACTCTAGGACTATTATATAGGAGTATCCATAAATCCTAAAGCCCTATCCTGCAGCGACAACCGTAAGTAGGTGTATCATAGATTCAGCTCAGTTCGCTAAGCTAGAACTAGTCAGCCAGGTTTGTTCGCATGAGCCGGGTCTGTTGCACACCTAATGATCGATCGGTCTTTAACTACACAAGAGCTCAAAGTTTACCCAAATTTCCAAACATTTTCTCCGCCGCATACACTACTTGCGTATCGAAGACACTCTGTCACGCAACTCAATTACCTTTAGCTAAGAAAAAAGCTTACTCTTACTTGCTAAAGTAAAACTCAAGTACACGTTTCTTACATTACGCATGCACCTAATATTTCCTAACGCATTCAAGATCAGCTAATATATGGCGTATACGTGAGATTCTTACCAATTTTTTAGACAACGCCTAAAAGACTATGATAACTTAGGATGACCCCAATGTGCTCTTTCTAATTAGTTCTAATTAGTTGGGTACTAATTAATTAACCAACTTACAATTACATAATGCGCTCACAGCCTATGGCTACAATTGATGGAATCCTACTATGTGCTGTTAAGTATAAAAAATGGACTGGCGTGAAGTGAGCTCGAAATTTAGGATTTACGCACTGTGAGGCTCACTTGGTCGACCACATTTATATACATAGGAGTATCATTAGAAATATGGCTCTGACATTCTACTCGATGTAGTTATGCTTATTGAATGAACTTATAGATTAAATCGTCAATGAGAAATGATTAACATCAAGAAACAATGAAAACACGTTATAATCCGTAGCTTCTCAAAAGAGATACTTTCTAAATAAGCATTTAGCTATTTAAGTGTTTCATAGCTATTTAAGTATTGCCATAGCTATTTAATTTCTTCATAGCTATTTAAGTACTTGCATAGCTACTTAAGGTTTCCATAGCTATTTAACTAGTTGCATAGCTATTTAAGTATTTAGATAGCTATTGAAATCATTCATAGCTATGTATAGTAGCCTCAACAAGACTCATTTGACCAATGACTAATGATGCCAAAGTTCGATTTTGAGAACTTTCTGATACATAATTAGTCATTGAAGTTTATTTAACACAAGTTGGCCGTCGGTGAACAATAGTTATATTTATAGAATCTTCTCAATATTGTATTCATCGAATACTATGCATAAGATATCCTACAACATAACACAAAATCGTAACAAAAAATAATTCCTGCTATACATATATAAGAATCAAATCCGCGAAATGTACTCATAATAAATAATGGGATCTTATTCTAATAGATATCATTGTAATAAAAATCATATTCAATATCTTTAACTAATGCAGTAGCTGCAGAATCTCTTTCTCAAAACCCTCGACATACACAGATGAGTACGATCAATTTCGACAAGTTATCAACCTTTCTAGAATACTGCTGTATATCTACGAGTACTGCAGCTAAAAAAGTTGAAGAGCCACATGCAACTATCCTAATGTTTGTTTTTCCCCCCCAACCCCCTGCTCGTACAGATAAGTAACATAGGCAAAATCCTGCATGCTCAGTTCAACGGCAATAACAACTTATTTACTACTACTGCTAGTCATTAAATACTACTTCGATTTCAACAACTAACCATGCGGATATTTAAAAAACTCGAATCTTAAATAGACACAACAGAATCATTCGAATAGCTTTACCACCATTCAAGTAGCCATGTCGACAGTTAAATAGTTCTGAAAAAATTGAATACTTATGCATGTACTTAAATACCGATGTAAATACTTAAACACCTATGGAAAATTTAAATAGCGATCCAGATACTTAAATAGCTATGGAAATACTTAGATAGCTATGCAAATACTTAAATAGCTATGAAAGAGTTAAATAGCTACATAAATACTTAAATAGCTATGGAAATACTTAAATAGCTATGAGAAACTTAAATAGCTATGCAAATACTTAAATAGCTGTAGCTGCATTAGAAAGCTGGAAAGTTTTCACAGTCACTTGTGTTAGACAAAAATTGTAGTATTAGATTAAATTTCAATTGTTGATAGATGATGAATAGCACTTCTTTGATGACAGAAGCACAAAAGAGTGCAGTAAGTGGTGTTTGCTCAGCTGGTTTGAGAATAACTACATTGCCTATTTGTTATTGCAACATATAAGAAAGTGTAAATTAGTAGAAGTAATGAAGTTACCACAAACTAATGCTGATCCAAGTTTCAAGGTCAACATAACAGTCTAAAATATAATGACAACAATACTTTTGTTTAATGTATATGTAAGAAAGAATATCATACTGAATAATCACTGAAAGAAGAAAGTACAATTTGAATTTTCATTTATTGAATGTTTGAACTGACCATAAAATGATTTGTTCATAGATCCCAACTGATTCATGTCTAATATAGGTAATAAAAATACCTGATTCTGATGAAAGTGTTTCACCAGTGATTTTATCAGTCCACCCAGCATCTGTAACATGTGAATATCATCGATAATAAAAAAAAGAGAATGTCAGAAAGACTTACAATAATCAAGACAAATAGCTGCTCCAAGAATCTCGCAATAACTCTCTTGTAGCAGTTTTTCACTATTCAGTGTTTCTAATCTATGAATATTCATTTATGATGTGGATGCAAATAAACAGAGTAAAACATTTTTACTGCTAAATAATCCACAACACGTGAAAGTAAATCAGCAAGTTTATGAATTAATTGAGCACGTGCAGCAGGATCTAACTTACGCCATGGTGAATCATATTGGAAACCTTCTTTTAGCAGCTTCAATTGTTTTATCAAGATCATCCTACAATATTGAAAACAATAAAAATTACACGTAGAACGAAAATAATCATGTGTGTATGTGTATATATATATTAATACTTTTGTGCCTTCTTCTACTTGACAAATTACTTCATCTGTACTTGGATTAATGATAGAGAACGGATTCATTTTTGTCTACATGATTGACCTTGATTTATCACATAAGAAGAAAAGAAAGAATGGACATATATTAGCTCGTTCCTTTATCCACTTATATTCATTGCTGTTTCAGTTGCAGATGATGTCTTCAATCTTAATGAATGATTCAACTTATGAAACCGATTTGGTCAAGAGAAAACAAAAATTTGATAAAGTAGCACACCTGAGTATTGTAACAAGTCTTCGTATCAATGTGGTATTTTTTAAAACTTGTCTTATCGATTGGACTTTGCGACAAGCGAAGAACAATTTTTTTAATAATATATGTATTTGATATTGCACTTCACTATAGAACTATTTTACTAACAGGTGCAAATCAGATCGTCCTTAGTATATGCAAAATCATATTCTTTTGATGTGACTCTATTACTAAAGATCTTATCAGTTCGTTTAATGTGAAACACTCAATATATGAAGGAAGACTTCCAGAACGAAATTGCCACGATGGAAAGAAGGAATTTTTAGAATAGCGGAGATTTCAAGCGAATAGAACTAATTTTCATAATTGTACGCTGGATTTCGAAAGCGTTGTAAATAACAGGCTAAAGCATTCTCTTCACCAATATCATATATCTACTTATGTGATTTCAGTTAACAAATTAACATTTTTCATAAGAATATTATTGTTACTGTTCAAAACTGATGCCACTTAGATGATAAAGAACAGGAACAATCAAAGAATTTATCATATATAAAAACTTCTTTAAATTCACTATATATATCATCAATAAATAATGTTTTACGAGAGCAGAAAAGAATCGATCACATTTTTCCTTCTTCAATAATCAATTTGTTTCTTTGTATTGTATTTTGTTTAAAATCTTTTAAACAATAAAATTTTAAATGTTATTAATTATGTATTTTAAATTGAAACTAGATTATGATGATTCATACGAGTTATTACCGTAATTAGGAGTTGTTTCAACTGATTGCTCGTAATATTCTATTCTTTGCATTTAAACATTTTATTTAAATTAGTTGTACATATTAGTGAGACTTTCGCAATACATGGAAGAGTTTAGAGAGCAAACTACATAAATGTTAGAAAGTTAAACAAGCAAATCCAAATAGCTGTTCTTCATGAAAAATTTGTATTGTTTTTCCTCAAACAAGTTTTACAACAATTGTTTTTACTTGATAGTATGGTTCGAGAGCATATCGACCTAATTCTTTTTCCTGACCTGATTCTTTAAAGCCATCAAATAGTGCTTGATCGCATATAGTCTTATAAGTATTTATCCAAATAGAGCCAGGTCGTATTTGATGAGCCAGCGTAAGACCACGTCTTACTGAAAAACTAGAACAATCATCAATAATCATTTCTTTCAAATTTACTATCTCTAGTTATCACTCCAGCACCAAGTCCAAAAGTCATGTCGTTTGCTCGTTTGATAATTTCTTCATATGAATCATACTTTCAGACTGACATTACAGGACTAAATATCTAAATTTTCACATTATTATAGAATCTAATAAAAAAAAAAGTTATACCTCTTCACCGGTAATTTGCATATCATGTTTTACATCACTAAAAATAGTTGCTTTGATAAAATAATCTTTATTATCAACTCCTTCACCACCACATTCTAATTTATCTCCAAACTTTCAACCTGATTCTACAAAATCCAAAATCTATTGAAATTGACTATCATTTATCTATCATATACAGGTAAAGTGAACTTTTCTTTAGACTAAAGAGGTTATTACTTGTGATCCTTGTACAGTATTAGAACCGAATTTGATTATTTGAAAGTCTTATAGAATACTCATCCTCAACCTCAGATGATCAAACGAGATCTTCCACCGATATGTGAAAAGAGAATAGCTCAGATGAAAATTATCCTGTATTTGTTACTGACCAAGTTCAAGTATAACACATTTAAGATTTGATTTAGTTGCTGCTTCGTGTATTTTCTTTTCAACCTTCAATCAAACATTTCACATTCATTTTTTTTAGTTTTATTAGTGAATGTTCTTACTTCAACTGAACTAGTACAAGCTACTTTATCAATATGTGCATGAACAGCAATTGCATAACCACATTCAGGCCCATCACCTAAATATTCTTATGAAATTATTACGACAAATATCATTCACTTTACCTGGTATGATGTTGATAACATCTGGTGGAAAGCGAGCCTAGATCATCATGATAACAACAAAGTATAATCGACATGATAATATCGTACCTCTTTGATAAGAGCAGCACAATAAAGTGCACTAAGTGGTGTTTGTTCAGCTGGTTTCAATACAATCAACTGAGAAAAATATTTCACCTTTAGTCTGTCCTAATAGTTTACCATTGTTAAGTGTTTCCACTTTCTACATATTGACTTATGTTGAGAGAAAGAAAGAGAATCTAATTTATGTCATGGTGATTCAATATCAAAAGCTGTTTGAGCAGCTTCAACTGTTTTATATCAACATTAGCCTAAAAATCACAATAGATAATGAACCAATGAAGAACATATAGAGATTCATACTCTAATGCCTTCTTCTACTTGACAGATTTCTTCTCGTATACTTGGATTGATGACAGAAAATGCTTTTCCATTTGTTGCTTTACGCCATTCATTGTTGATAAAGATTTGAGTATATTTAACTTTAACATTCGAAGCTATTTAATCAGCCGATGACATCTGAAAAATAAGAGAAAAGACCTGAACAAAAAAAAGGTGTTTTGGTCGACAACAAGTATGATAATGATAGTGCCATCGTCATTTATCTAAGCAAACACACACTTATATATCCTGCTTACTCTCTTCTATACGTGCACAAACATATACCCACTTTTTGCCTTTTCTCTTATTTTCTTAAGGCGAAAGAGAACAGACGCTAGATAAAAGAAAAAGTAGCTTTTCTTCTTGCCAATATAAAAATGTAGGTTGCATCAACGACAAAACACAAACAAAATATAACGTACAAAAACCATGTTTTTGTCAACAAAGAAAACGAGCAGTACACAAACAGTCATGATTTTAAATAGAGAAAAAAAAATTTAGAGAAATGCTGGAACTCCTCTAGTACCAAGTGATCATGTCGTCACACGACGATTTTTCTAATCGATCAGGACAAGATCCCATTGAGATCTTGACTGCACGAATATTCTAAGCTCAAATATTCATACAATCCGTAGCAGTAAATAACCAAAAGATCATGCTTTTTAAAGATATTCAGTGCACAATGTCTCAGGACAAGAATTCTCGTCGCCCGGACCCAAAGGGTTAAGAACTTATGACCCGAGAAATACGATGACCGTATCAATAAGTGGAAATATTATCTATTTCATCTATAATTAATCCATCTAATCTAAAATTAGCCCGAGATGTTTTTCACATAGTACAGTCAATCCATATTTTTAAACGGCCAAGAACGAGTACGTACAATGGAATACAACGGGTAGTTCATAAAGAATTGCCTTCCTAATATTTTCAAAATCTCTCTCCTTCCT